GAGTTTGTTCTATCAGTTTGTCAAGTCTTACTGAACTGTAGCTGTCAAGAAATTATGGGCAAACATCGAAAACCCTCATTGTCCTCAACGTGATGAGGTAGTTCTATCTTTGGTTAGTGCCAAATTTACATGAGGCTGGAAGAACTTTGTTGGAAAACAACTGGAAGGTAACAATTTGTGTGATGCTCTACTTCACTCGAATGTATTCTTAAGAGATGCACATGGCAGAACATATTTGGGTTGTTGATACTCATCAGATCAATGCAGTTGAGAAGACGATGTTGCCGAAACTTCAGTTACAATATCAACAAAGTAGTTTGCAAACCTCACATAAGCATATTAATAAAACAAGATATTGACTAATAGATAAGGTATATTAAGAGATAATGTGGTTAAAATAATGCCGTTTTTCTTAAAAAAAAAAAAACAACTTTCGGCTATCAAAAGAATATGTCTCACTTACCCGCATGACTCCCCAAAAATGTAAATATGAAGTAAAAAAATGTAAAAAAAAGAACAACTAGAGGATATCAACCTTCACTTTACGTGTTCTTGGTTTCGGCCCTTTGTCCCCAATAACAATAACGGAGGGATTTACAACTTCAGGAACAATGGTGCTTGTTGACGATTGATCCTCGCCCTCGCACAAAATTCCACAACTGGCTTTCTCACAAGCCTGCATATTAAAAACAAAACTTGTGATATTACTGCCTACAGGCTAAAAATAAAAAGCAAAAAAAAAGGATTGGCAATGAAACCAATTTTAGAATACCTCGTGAATGTCGAAACCATCTTTGTTATTAACAGAGTTCGCGAACATCGAGGAAGATTCCGTGTCTTGAACGTGACCTGCTGCAAAACATGAACCGGTGTAGAAAGACAATGTAGGATAACTTAAGCATTAGTGTCGAAAACAAAATATCACATTGTTTAAACACTGCAGATTAAACCGTTCTTCGGAAATTTAAGAATTAATAGTTGTGGATTAAAAAATTACTGGAGGCTCCTGTATCACTCAGTGAACCAATGACATCATCTTTAGTCGTGGATTTTGCTTTGAGGCCGCCGGTAGAGAAGTCGTCCGCGCTACTAATTTTCGAAGGGAAGGATTTACGTGTAGTCTAAATTAGAAAACGAAATTATAAGAACTGAATCCAACCGATGGAAATACGCATCGTACATGGTTCAGACTAGATTGTCTGAGCATATTACTGTCGGTGCAGTGCGTTAATGCTTCAAGAGTCGAATTAGCTCGTCGAAATTTCGAGTTGAAACCTGCATCAGACTCACGACGAATTCCTGTGATAGCGAACGTTATGGACTAAGACCTACAAATTAAAAACTTCGATACATAAGTCCGCTCTAATTCAATCTACCTAAGATTCTTCCCCTATCGAACCTTTCAAGCCCGCAAAACACCAAACAAAATCATTACTTACAAGTATCTAAGTAGCAACCAATCAATAGAAATGAAGAAATCTTTAGAACTTGACACATCACAATATGAGCAAGTGAGGCAAAACATTAATGTCATGGTATCTAGTGATAAAGCAGGTACGCAAATTATATTCTAGACTATATACCTTTCTTCGCTGCTGGCATGATAAGAGGTTCAGACATTTTCCGTGCCATTGTCGAGAACAGTTCTCCGTTTGTCGGGGAATCCATGCCATCACTGTTAGTTTCATGCCTAAAACAATTCTTTCTAATATGAAGAAAGCTTTGGTATTCCATCCTATTATGATTATAATAGTATCCATGTGTTCATCAATACCCATAATATTAACTTTCTTATCTACTGTCTACTACAATTTCCCCGACAAGGTATCATACAAAATCAATTACAGTGATGCTGAGACATTTGCAAAACTCTGGACAGCTGACGTCTGCGGTGGGGACCGAACATGCTATTACCACTTTCGAGGGCTAACGCATTCACCATACCATGCGCGTCTTTCGTTTCGTCTTTCTCTCAGCTAGTTCTCTATCTACCAGTGCCATCAGCAATCACCCGTCAATAAAAGAAGTATGCAAAATGTTGAGCTATCCCATTATGCATAACACGTGGTTTATTACGTGTATTATGCACTCCGTGGTATTCAATCTATACCTTCGGAAACCTGACGTTTTCGCAAAGCTTTGTTCACAATTGGCCCAACCACCCCGTAATCGTAATTAGAAGGTCTAACGAAGGAACTATCGTGAAAACGATTGTGCAGTCTGGATTGGGTGCCTCAGCATTCCGATAGATAACCTGAGTCGGTCAGAAAAGCACCAGGGCGATTTGCGACACTTACACGGAGGTATCCAGCTCGCTATCGTTGTTTGGCGCGTCCTCTACGACTGCAATATCCTGCACTTCAACAACATTACTTTTCATGTCTTCGTCACTATATTCCTGTTGAAAATGGGAAAATTAAAATCAAATGCAAGAAATCTCAAGAGCCAATGGAAATAGTACGAGATAGATGATATGGTGATATCATAAGAAAGGTAATACGATGGCTAGGAAAACAGTGTCCAAATAATAACAGCAGAAGCAACCTCCAAGTTGATCGCCTTCTGTACCATGACGTCAGTTTCATTGAGGTTTTCTAGCTCCGCTAACTCGTTTTCGATTTGAATTCTTCGCCGATTGCACTGAAACAAAGCTAACAAACAGTTGACCCGAAGCAGAATAGCGAGATACATAACTTTTCCATATTCTGGGCAACACCATGAACACTAAGGCTTTTTGCTGTTTCTTACTTGGATACTTAGATGGCCAGTCTTCGTTGGTTCTTCGGCCGCCAGCATAAAATCTATTGTTACGGAGTTTTGCTGGCTTATCCACTGTGGTTCTCCGAAGAACCAAGCTCGGCCAGCCCAAAGTTTGCCTCAAGCCGTCACCAGCACAGGCAGTCGCCGCCTTTGTGGATAATTGGTAGATTTGCTAACATGCGACTAATGTGATCTCAGACCGTGGTGAATTCTGGTATTGGCTTACTCCTAGCTAGCTTTCCTAGTTGAAACGCCGGACTCCTTCTCAGCCTGGAAGACCCTGCTGTAGGAATGACTCCTCTCGCTGTACACCGCAGTCCGACACCCAGGAACACCTTCCAGCCACGATGAGGCGGCAAATCGTTGGGAGCACTGCTGCTCTGCTGTCTCAACAAATTCGAATTAGGAAACAAATTCAATTGCTTCAGCGTACCGGAGAGTTAGCGGTGAGTTCGTTGTCACTAATTCGCCTACTGATTTCTTGCAGTTCAACCATCTCAAAGCCATCCTCCTCCTCATGCTCTGAACCCATAGAACATTGAGCGCGCTCAAAAAGGATATGGAATGTCACTCGCCTCCAATATCGTCATTTGTCCTACTACGAGTTTCGGATGCCGAGAGAACTTTAGTGGTAATTACTGGCTCTGTCGTATCGAATACCACATGCAGGCGAGCGACGATCGTCTGAACCAAGAAAATAAGGAAATAAAAACTCGAATAATGGGTTACTCGTTTGAACAAAGCATGGCAGGTTCACCTTCAGAATAGAAAATAGAACTCCAATAAAGCAGGTGTATCCAATCAGAAGAGATGAGGAGAGAGCCCCTGACGTTACAAATCCAACTACGAGAGGAACAATGAGCAGTACTAACCAAAGGTAGAGATGTACCGTGTTACAAAATATCGAGTGCGCTGGTTCGTAGTACCTGAAATAAAGGTGAAGTGTGATTAGTACTATCAGTTGCTATAGTGGTCTTGAATAGTACAATTAGTTACACACTGCCAATTACTGATTTAAAATATGCTCTAAGTTTAAAGGAGCCACTACGTAGCGCCACGCGCTGCCTAGCCTAGTTCAATGTATGTCTTGTTAGATTTGAAGCAAAACCGAAGATTAGGGGCGCGTGTAGCGCAGTGGTCGGAGAGGTCCTGCAATACGCATGGGATCTATCTATGCGTTCCAGGTTCACCAAGCCCTCCATCCCTCCCGGGTTGGAAAATTGGTACCAGACTTGTCTGGGAGGATAGCAGCACTGACTCGATACATCGCCACCGCGAGTCATTATAAAGGCCAGATATGTATTCAATCACTTCCAACAATTCTTAAGGAAGTCGAATGCATGGCGTATCCTTTAGAAATTTATCCTTTTTTTGCCCAAGTTTAAATCCACACTATTAGTTCGAATTTATCCAAGTCCTCAAGGGACGAATAGCTCCACGAACTGGAATGCTTACCATCCACCAGTAAGCGAAGCCCAGATCCCTTGGCGCAGTATCTCGGCGATATGTGTCGTAACAGTCATCACGCTCTCCCCATCGTCTAATTTTGATGTTCTCGCAGAATTCACTAAACCTTCAACATAAACCAACCACCTAAAAACGTCAATATTAAGACATTACGTAGCAACGAAAAAGAATACGACGTTGGACGACGCCCCAGCTTCCGTGGCCGGAGTGCATACATTACATTCCATCTATGTTACGTCACAAAATGAAACCTCATTCGTCTTAAAGCAAACTAGTAGCGTGTAGCTCGTAGCTGATCTTGTAACGAACTGCTAATTAGGGATGGGTGATAAAGATCGAACTCGCAGCTGTGGCCACACCAACGAGCAGTGAGCACGAGCATGCTGGTCGTTGTAGTGTGTGGAGCCTAGCTTTGGCTACAATCATGATAAAACGACACTGAAGACCAAACGCACTTTCCCTAAACTGCCACAAAACACATGGCTTTGGAAGAGGGGAAGATCAGATTGGAGGGAGATCCGTAGTGCAACAAGTCCGCAATATTGCGTCGAACGTCGCCCGTGATGACGTCGCCCGCGAATCACCTTCGTTATCGTGGCTTCGGAGCCCTTCCGTTAGTTCTGTCAGCTTCCGATTCCCGTCCTAGCCTGCAGACGAGTCCATTGATCTTTCTAGTTTTCTTGTGTTCTTTTCGATGAAGGTAGGCTTCTGCAGTGATTTCCCACGCTTTCAACCTAGAACTAGTACATTACCTTCGGAATCCAATATTTCAGATGTCTGAAGAAGCTCCTCCAAATACTACCACGCCCGTTGCTTCAAGCGATGAGAAGAATCTTGTCGTTTCTTTCATACAGTTTATTAGACACAAGGTATCAGCAAATAAATGCGCGGAGGACCAGGTCGAAGCACTGGAGGGTTAGTTGGTCTTTTTCGTTTCACATTTACCATTAGTTATTTAACAACGGAAAATTTTTAAATCCGTAGAAGTGGTGCTGGGATGTAGTGTTATCTACTTTCTTCTTCCGATCAAGACTTCTAGAATAAGTCAAGTTGTGGTCTGTGATTCCATCATTGTCGGATACCTCCCAATGGTTTACCCGCCTCTTCGTGGCTGAGAGGTGTTCCTGGGTGTCGGGTTGCGATGTACAGCGGGTGGATTCATCCCCTGAGTTTGGTCTCCCAAGCTGAGTACGATTCCGGCGTTTCTATCGAGAGGCCCTGCTAACAGGCCAATACCAGGATCCACCACCGTCTTGGTACCAAACTAATCTTTTTGTGGCAAATCTCCCTCTGATCTACAAGAGCGGCGACTGGTCCTAGTGGTGAAGACCTAGGGCAGACTTTGGCTAGGCTGACCTCGGGACTCCAGGGAACCACAATGGCTAAACCAGCAAAACTCACAAAAAATGGAGATTATGCTGGGACCCGCTCAACCAATGAGGACGGGCCATCCAATTATCCGAGTGTCCATTGTCGGATAGTTATTTGTGTTGTGTGTTGGGGTGGATGCGAAGCTGCTGTGATTGTTTTTCAGTGGCTGTGCAGTGCTTGGAGTCAGCCTTTCGACTCACAGATGCCAATTATGCTTTTCAACCTTCCAAACCACTTATAGATGTATTCACAGCCGCGGAAGGTCTCCCATCGGTTAGTGTTGTGCGTTATCGCTTGTTTCTCTTAAGAAATTTACTCATGTGTTGAGGCTTCACCTTGCTGTTACAGTTTTTAGAACATGGATGCTATAAGTGGTATCAGTTTCTTTCCAGGGAGAAAATGAACTACCGGAACCAACTCAAGCAGAAATTGCAGAGGCAAATAAACTGAAGGAAGAGGTATTATAAAGTGCTCTGCTAGGAGTTGATTTTTTCGAGGAATGGGTGCTTCAAGGTTGATGTGAGGTTTTCGTACGACATATTCTAGGGAAATGATCTGATGAAATCATCCCAATTTGATGCTGCTGTTAGTAAATACAATGAAGCAATCAAGCTAAACAGGGATCCCGTCTATTTTTGTAACAGGTGTGAACACATTTGTTTGTCGCTCATAATTACCATGGATAATATTCTTTCAGGAATGATCGTTCACACAATCTGAAAATTTAGGGCTGCAGCGTACTGTCGCCTTGAACAATATGATCTTGCAATTCAAGACTGTCGAACTGCACTTGCTCTTGATCCGAAATACAGCAAAGCATATGGGAGAATGGGGTATTGAGTTTAACTCATTTCATTGTTCCAAAAAGAAGCCTTTTTTCATTTTCCTTCCTATATAAGCATCAATAGGGACCCAAACCTTCCATCACTGCGGGGTCGGCAAATTGGTATCAGACTTGTCTGTGAGGATAGCAGCTCTGGCTCAGTGCATCGATAGGCCACCGCGAGTCATTGTAAAGGCCAGCTATGCATTCAGTCTCCTCTAACGATACTTAATGAAGTTGAGTGCATGACGCATCCATCAGAGATTGTTCAGCACCGAGTGCTTTATTCTTAATCCTTCTGTAAACATCCGTGTGCAGATATTTAGAAATATTATTGCACTTGAATAACCAAGTTATCAGGGACAAAAACAGGGAAGGAACATTTCATGTCCTGTATTCTTTGCTCCAATTTCACTGTTTGTGAACACCGTGAACCAATTTTGAATAAATTGTCTTGGGTTGTTTAAACATAAGGCTAGCTGGCTGGTTATCAGTTGGCGAATAACAGGTTCTAACCTGAAACGCAGGTGCATTCAGGAAGTTGGTTTAGTGCCCCTACTGTTGGTTATTGGCATCTCTGTGTATAAATATGTATGTATAGCAATATTCATGTATGGGCACTTGTAGCGCAGCGGTTAGAGGTGCCCGGAAACACATACTGGATTGGAAGCATGCTTACTGTTGCGTTCTAACCTAATCAACCTTTCCATTTCTCAGGGTTTGGAAAATTGCTAGCAAACTTGCCTGAAAATAACGGTACTAATTTGATAAGTAGCCTCTATGACGTTCCATGAAATCGAATGTTCAACCCATCCCTCGGATTGATCAACGCGGGAAACTTTATCCTTCATGATTCTTTAACTACTCATGTATGCGTTTTGGTTGCTTCTTATGATGTAGAAGACGAGTACGGAGAGCTGAAACATCGCGAGCAAATAAGTCACAAATATAACCACAAAGATGCTGAGACATTTGCAAAACTTCGGTCCGTTCGTGTCTGCGGCGGGGACTGAACAAGCTGTAACCTTTTCGGGGTACTAACGTGTTTACCACCACACTAGGATGAGGTCCTTCGTTTCATCTTTCGCTTAGCCGTGGTTTAGTCTAAAAGTGCCTACATTGTGATTTATACCACAGCCAAGATTGGAGCAAGAAGGACATATGAAGAACGTAACATTGGGACCCACGGATTAGAAGGGAACGAACAAGGTGAGCGGCTATCTGAGTTTATCATGACGACCAAGACCATCCATGGTAACTCGCAATTCCAGTAGCCCCACTCTCAACGCTGGACGTGGGAGTCTCCCAATGGAGCGTACCATAACGAAATAGACCACGTAGTAAATAGAAAGTTTTGCCTAACCGTGTCGCTGTTGTCCCAAAATTCTACACGGGATCAGACCATCACCTCCTTCGTGCAAGATCCTACTTCTCGCGGAAAGGAGAAAAAGCCGCTAAATTCAAAAACTAAGGTCCTAGAACCACCACAAACGGGGCTTATTCAATTCATTAGTCGGCTGTTGGGAAGATGCCGTTGTCGATAACATCGAAGAAGAATACGATCGGTTCATTCAAGATCTTCACGTTAGCGCTATGAAAGCTGAGACTTCGAAAGTCACCAAGAGACGTCTGTCCCCAGAAACACTCGAGTTGATACGCCAGCGTGGAATCGTACGAGCTGCAGGCAACCGAGAACTAACGTCCGAGCTTGCAAAACAATGCAGACAGGCAATAAAAGAAGATCTCAAAGAGAGAAGAGCAGCGGTAATGGTCAGAGCTGCAGAAGCTGGAAAAAGCATTGGCAAAGCCCACCGAAGATTCGTCAATTACAAGACCAAAATGATTGCACTCCGGCTCCCAGACGGAACAGTTACAGCGTCCAAAAAAGCAATGGAGAAAACCATTCACGAATACTCAGATCTCTTCAATACCCACGTCCATCTCCTGTAATATGAAATAAAAGAGGACGGATATGTTGTACCACCGGTTCTCCCTTCCGAATTCCGGTATGCCATTTCGTCGGTGAAAAATCGAACAGCACCAGGTTCGGACAGGATAAGATCAGAGCACCTGAAAAACCATCCGCCAGTCCTCGTAAACACACTGGCAATGCTCTTCACGCGGTCTGTCTGAATTCTGTCTGAGTGCAAGGTCTCTACTCAGTGGAAGACCATCAAGACAGTGTTGTTTTTCAAGAATGGTGACCTACACGATATCCGCAACTGTGACCCAATCTGCTTGCTGTTTGTCGTCTGCAAACTTTTCACTCGTGTCTTCCTAAATAAGATTGACAGAACACTGGGCGAAGGACAACCATGTGAAGAAGCAGGGTTTCGAGAAGGATTTGATACGGTGGACCACATCCACACGATAGGAAGACTCATTGAGGTATCGCGAGAGTTCAGTAGACCGCTCTATCTCACTTTCATCGATTTACGTAAGGCCTTTGATTCAATTGAGCTAGGAGCAGAAATGGAAGCTCTTGATAGTCAAAGAGTCCCACTCAGTACATAAAGATTCTTCGTGAGTTGTACAAAAATTTCCCAACCAAGATATCACCGTTTTACAACGATATTAACATTGACGTCAAAAGAGGAGTTAGCCAAGGCGATACCATCTCGCCAAAATTATTTACCGCTACCCTCTAGAACGTCATGCCAACATTGGAATGGGATAATATGGTAGTGAGAATCGATGGTCGGCAGTTACATTGTCTTCGCTTTGCTGATGACATCGTCCTTATAACATCAAACATTAGCCAGGCGGAACGTATGCTTGCCGACTTTGATAAAGCCTGTCGAAAAGTTTTGTCTTCGACTAAATCTCACAGAAACGGTGTTCATGAGGAACGGATTGGTTTCGTATGCTCCATTCACGATTAACGGAACAAATGTCTCTGAATGCTCCAGTTATGTCTATCTAGGTCGTGAAATCGATTTGGTGAACGACTTTGCTCCAGAGCCGAGAGGAAGGAAACGAGCGACTTGGGGAGCTTTCAAAAGCATCGAACATGTAGTGAAGAGGACAAAGAACACCCGACTCCTTGCCCACCTTTTCGACGGTACTTGCTGACCTAACGTATGCATCAGAAACCTGGTGGCTGCGTAAGCAGGATGTAAGGTCAGTCAGCGTTATCGAACGCGCAGTTGAAAGGACGATGGTAGGAGTGTCCCGTTTCACCCAAGTAAGGTTTGGGAACCTAAGCTCCGGCTGCGTCAACGGTCAAATATCAAACACGCCGTTTTGTTCTCCAAACAGTCGAAGATAAGGTGGGCCGGACATGTAACGGGTATTGAATGACAACCGATGGACAAAAGCCGTTAGTGACTGGATTCCTCGCGATATTAAACGTACTGCAAGAAGACTACTTACTTGATCGTCAGAGTTCTTCACGAAGAGCCTAGAAGAAAGATATGATGCTCAACGAGTCCCTAGAGCGAGCCGAGGCCACTGGGCTACTCTTGCACGCGATAGGAAAAGATGGAAGGCTTTCTGGCCCGCTCGAGTTACTCGACGATCAGCGGGACTATAGGCGATGCAGGTGGCTACAGCTTCAGTTTAACTGGGTTCGATTGTCGATTTGTGCTCCTCAGGCCAATCCCATTGGCGAATGATTTCTCATAGCATGTGTAGGTTAAAACACGCCTCGTAGAAAGACGAAACCGAGGACCCGCAATGTGTGGTGGTGAACAAGTTAGCCCTCGGAAAGGGTAATGGTGGGTTCGGACTCTACCGCAGACCCTTGCGGTCCGGAGTTTTTCGAATGTCGTAGCATCATTGTGACTTTATTTCACATCAAATCCGGCAAGGAAAAAGGAATAGGCAGTAGATAAGAACTGACTTCATTGAGTTATCAGTAATTTTTACAAAGTCGCAATCATTTATTTTTTCCACTTTAAAAATTTTTTTTTCAAAATTTAGTGAATTTTGTTAATTGGAAAAAATGTGTTTTTGTTTGTTTGTGATTCCGTTGGTATCGCAAGACTTTTGCTTTCGGTTTACTTCAGCTTTAATTGCAGTTACGTCGCTAATGTCAAGAAATCTAAATTTCATTGCTAATTTTTAAAGGTTTTAAAGGTCCTTTAAACATTTAAAACTTAAATGACTTGGAATTAAGTGTAGTTCAAGACCGAATGTGTAATGGCTTTTTCCTAATTCCGGCAACTTCTTAGTTCCGGAACTGCTGTACTGGTCAAAAAATTTCCGTAAACTGTCAAAAAATCCCCATAATGTCAAACATATTGAAAATATCGAGGTTGTAACAGAATTCTATGATTTTCAAAGGTAGAAATCTGTTCATACAATTGTACAAGGTTGTATCGAATGATTCTATTGAGGACTTGATGTTTGCTAAAAAAGTCAAGTAGTACTTTATTAATAACGAATTTAGGCGGTTTATCTATCCATTTCTTTTGGTGAAAATATTGGAGAGAAACTTCCTTGAGACGTGCGAAAGCAGTCACTGAATCATTGCGTCGCAATGCAATGTAGCTGAAAAAGTTCACAAACAGTTCTGCACAGTTGTTCAGGATGAGGAACATCGGCATCTACGGAATGGTTTTTCGGATGTTTGTTTTTTTGCGATGTTTATGGAAGCCATCTGCAGCAGAAATATTAAGATTCAACAAAGAGCTGTTTTTATTTAGAGGGGTTCACCGTGAAGCCGCGTTAATCACGCTCACATAGTTACGAAGTTCTATGGAATACTGCGAATACTAAATTTTGTCTTTTTCTCACTTAAATTGGTTCGAAGAAGGCTCTGCATTTATTGGAAAGAAAGTGATCCTGTAATTCTTGGGTTGTTATGACATTCCTAACCAATACCTCGATGGGTAATGAAAGAGCTTTACAACCATTGTTTAACCATTTTAACCCAAGTACATAATTTAGCCAATTTAATCCGACTACACAATTAGCGTGGATTCATTTCAGTAACGCTATTCAGTTCCATTTTCAAGAACTTCATGAGGAATGTGATGTAAGATAACAGGGGGAATGGTGGTCAAATTCAACATCGAAGCAACATATAAACAAAAATTATGCTGTTCTTCTTTATTTGGAAAGCTAAACTGCCTTAGTAGATATACTGCGATATGAATGGCTGTATTGTTGCAAATCATTTGGTAAAAAACTTGAAGCGTATGTAGGACTAAGCGCTTACCTTACATGATTTTGAGTTCATGTCATTCAATTTTACACGCGAATTTTGTTACCCTTTCCAACAGTTTACGGCCTCATCGTAAGGGGGGTGTTCCTGGGTATCGCGGGGGATTCATCCTCCCTACACGGTCTCCCAAGCTTAGAAGAGTTCGGATTTTTCATCAGGAAGGCCAGCTGCGTTTAAACCAATACCTGGATCCGCCACCATGTTGAAACCAAACTAGTCTCATGGTGGTAAATATCCCTCTGAGCCACTAGGGCGGCGACTGCCTGTGGTGGTGACGACGTGGAGCAGACTTTGGGCTGGCGTACCTCGGGGCTTTAGGGGACCACAATGGCTAAGCCAGCAAATCTCCGAAGAAAATAGAGATTATGCCGAGGCCCGTACAACCAGTGTGGACGTGTCATCCAGGTATCCAAGAGTTTACTTACTTGGTACTTGAACTGCCCTTCCTCACTGGTTGTGCGGGCCCCAGCATAATATCCACTTTTCTGAGATTTCTGGTTAAGCCATTGTGGTACCCTGGAATCCCTAAGTTAGCCTGGCCAAAGTCTGTCCCAGGTCACCACCACAGGTATTCGCAGCCCTTGTGGATCAGAGGTAGATTTGCCACCAAGTTTTGGTAGCAGGGCAGTGACGGATCCTGGTATTAGTTTACTCTTAGCTGGACTTCCTCATGGAAACACCAGACCAGACTCAGCTTGGGAGATTCTGCCAGGTGGATGAATCATCCCGCTGTACATCGCAGCGCGACACCCAGAAACACCTCCCAGCCACTACGAGGCGGTAAACCGTTGGGAGGATCCAAGAGTTTTGTTACCAAGATTTCTCAGACTTATTAGTAGTGGTGTTCTACACGTATTATTCTGTTTAGTAAACTGAAATTACCTTTGTAGTCTAGTATATCTGCAAGGACAACATAAGCAACGGCAAGGCAATTTTAGGTTAGCGTTGTCATGTCAAAATCGTTATGAGCAAGCAGTGGAGGCATACAAAAAGGCGCTAGAACTCGACCCTACTCAGGAAAGTTTTAAGAACAACTTAAGAATTGCTGAGGAGAAAGTGAAGGAACTCGAAGCTGCTGCACAAGCAAGTGGAGTGCCTCCGGTAAAACACTTCTGCTCTAGTGGTACTCCGATAAGCACGTCTATTCATATGTTTCAGAATCCGTTCGCTGCAATCTTTGGCGGTACAGGAGGAGCAGGGACACCAGAAGGCGTTAACTTTGCATCGTTGTTCAGCAATCCGCAAATGCTGAATATGGCTCAGGTATTCTTGCAGTCCTCGATGAATGGCTTTAAATATCCACTTCATGTCGACAATTTTGAAATTAGCAGTTTGTCTTCTATACGGTATTGATTTCTGGAGAAGTGTTGTACCTTTTCTTCGTACTAGGTCGGGGGTTTCGTCCTCGTCATTAATGAAATTCTTTGGTTCATTTAAGCGACGAGTCTTCTAAACTGGAGAGCGACATAGAAGTATTGGTTAGGCTACGTGTCTTGTCACCACATATGGTGTAGGGGAGGACCGAAACCGATTCAGAATATAAGCTACTTTAGCATCCATTAACAGGTAGACTTCTCGGCAAGCTGTCTGAGTTTATCCTTTGCCAAAACCAGCAAAGGTGAAACTCCTGGTTTCCTTATATTCCTAATACGAGAGTAGTGGAAGTAGACAAGTGTGGAAAGACTGCAAAATCTAAAGGCCACTCAGTGAGTGATATGTTGTCATTGTGAACTTATAACGCACATACACCATCTGGACCCTTTGTTAAGTACCCGATGATACGCGCTAAGGAGAGTAAATGAGGATTCATTGGATTTAGCGTTTACGATACAGGAAGCGGTGGAGGTGGTTTTTGCCAACACCACATTGAGCGCAAAAATTTATTCATTTAAACAACTAACAGCCCAAATGGACGTTAACGATTAGAAAGACATGGTCTAACGCCAGTTTTGACAGTCTTCGTCGTCTCCACTCCAACATTAGGCTCTGACGAAGACGTCGAAGCTTTCTACGTAAGAAAAAAGTAAACATGGAGTCCCAAGCAGTGGAGTTCAATGAACAGAAAATTGGAACAAGATAGCCAAAAACCGTGAGAAGCTTGGCTTTTTCACTTCTCAAGCCTGATTTAGGGAAAATGTTATTTTAAAAGTACAAAACATCTTGTGCATGTGAACTTGGTAGCCTGACTTCAGTGCAAATTTGCTCAGGTGAGCGTTGACACTATATTACGGTGGAGAGGTATAGTGCCACATGTCCTTCATCAGATGTGTGGCATGTTATCAAGCATGTTACCTTGTCATCTCGGGATTGAAAGAACGCTAAAAGGATGGCCATTTTAGCAATGTCTTGAAATCGACCTGATGTAGTGGATGATACCCATACCGTGTGGAATTCACTGTGGTTTCACAGAAATGGAAGGTGCACTGCTGTACCACTTTCGTTGAAGCAAATGCTTTCTGACTGTGTTTATATAAAAATTATCGCTTAAGTTCTGAACAACTGTAATATTTCTTCTCGTTGCGGAAGGTTCATTCTGAAATAGGAACTTGGGCATTCTACAAAATCATCACGATAAAGGAGTTCCATAAAAAATATTTGTCGATTGGAACTGAAAAGAAAACAGATTTCGTAGAAAACGAGTTCTTTTTTAAAAAGCCATTCTCGTTCAGTGTAACGAACATTTTGGAGAGATGCTAGATTTCTGGATCGGGAAATCAAGTTGATGAACAATATCGGTGTAGAGCTATGCATTAGGAAACCAGCTGTAGCTTCGAGCACGTCCTGCGAAGGACGAAGAATAACCAACTTCGTACCACTTAGATTCTGTGAATCCTCCTGGTTTGTATATTTATGAATTTTGGATGCGAGATGTCGATGGCAGTAACACCTTCGTCATGCAAGTGAGAAAAAGAATCCGATGTCAATTTATCTTAACTGTCATGAATTGGAGATGCTGCTTCACGTGTCAAGGTGTTGAAAATCATCTGTTCCTAGGGTGTAACATGTCTTTACGGCGCTTTCCACCTTTTCTTTTTTACATTAAACATCGAAACTGTAAAGTTGTAGAATTTTCCTTTAATCAGTCTGTCACATTAAGTCTCTGATGAATGATCCGAACATTCAAAGCATGATGGGACAATTGATGGCGGGTGGAGCTGGGTTTGGAAACATATTTCAAGCTGGACAACAGGTACATGATTTCTCGTTTCTTGCTGAAGTTTTTTCTATCTGTTTTGTTAACGACGACCTGAGTCAAGTCATTTCATTTTTCCAATCCATGAGAGCTTATACGACTGAACTTAGTGAATGGTGATGAATTGACTAAGTGTATTAAGTTGGTAAAATCCAGCAATAACTGGAAAAAGAGAGTCGGGATATCTCTATGTTTTGGGGCGAAAAGACATATAATAAGGTGTTGAAATAACACTTTCCTGCTTCCTCACTTCTTCACTTGATTGTTGTTTATCGTGCCAGGTATAGTCCGTTTTCATTTTTATCTCCTTCGTTATTACAGTTAATTAGTTGTTTTTTGGTACGTTATCTCTTGAATAGTTCATTTTTTGAAGCTGGCCCAGCAAATGCAGCAAACAAATCCCGAGTTCGTGGAACAACTTAGACGGCAGTTTGAGGGTCATGGACGAAGTAGGTAGATTGCAGTACTTTTTTTGTTCGTTGTTTGTTGAATGTGGTTGATCTTGAAGGTGATGGGAATAATGAGGGCGGTGGAAACAGTCAACCAGATCAACAACAAGGATAAATTACTATTGGTGCTTGTCTTTTTTTCTTTGCTGTTCTACTTCTTGTTGCTTAACTCTTGACCCTGTTATTGAGATTTAAGCTTAGTGACGTTTGAGTGCTTTTACTAATCTCTAGGATTGTGATAAGAGATGTTTATGTTATTTCATCAATAATAACGACATTGAATGAAAATAACGACATGACTGAGCACTATCGTTATGATAAACTTCATACAACGTGTTCCTGTTTCAGTTTGTCGCAAAATATCACAGTGGGACACTGGTTACATCGGCGCTGAGTGGAAAGCTTACAATTAGGTGTGTGCTATAGATTAGCAGATTACTTTTTGAATACATGCATCTCTGAGAAACTGAAGCGCCTTGTCAGTGAACTTCGGTCGACCTAGAATTTCGTAACGACTGATTGTCAATAAATTACACAGTTTATCAGTACCTGAGTAGTCAGCATATGAGATCCACTCTAGATCGGGACAGAACTGTGCAAGGGTATAGATGGACTTATCCGTGCATGCGGTACCTCGGATGCGGACTTCTCTCAGTGGACAACGTCTTAAAATAGGAATCAAAATAAAATATCGGGTGGATCAGAGACTTAGTGAAATATGATGAATAAACATTTCCTGCAACCACTGCTATATTACGTCAGTACAGTGGTATTGCCATAATCAGTTGCACCAACCTTGCAAGTGCCGCCATGCCTTTGTCACTCACCCATCGACAACCATTGAGATTGATACAACGCAGCTGTCGACAGTTATCACCGAGAATCGCGAGGAATCGGTCATCAACCGACAGCATTTGCGAAGTCTCGAGATCCTAAAAGATGTTTCGCAGGAAACGAGGTCTTTAATGTTTAAGCAATACTCGTATAGGGAATATGTTGATGGAGAACGTTCGATTGCTTAGATTTGGATATCAGAAATGACCTGTGTTACGTCAAATTCATAAAATAGGGTATAAGTAACAGTTAGTGGAAGTACTGCAGCAAGTTAGCAACCATCTTTGATGGTGATTAAGGAAGTTCTTTGTATGTTATGGAATAACGTATTGGTACTAGTCGTACGCGCCCCCGTTCGATCGATTGATTTCGGGCAGCGTTAATATTCAGAAATACTATTAAAAACGGTGTAAACCCACAATAAGGTTTCTGGCTCCACGAGCAATAGCGAACAGTACCCTGTAGGTGATTCTCATTCGACATATCTTCAGTGAACGCAGGCGAGATCCTTGCGACTTAGCACCGCCTTAACAAAGCTAGTTTTAAACGGATCTGGAAGTTAGGTCCAAACGAATTTTTTCACTCCAGTCCTATTTAGTTCAGAATAACTGCAAGTCAGAGAAGCTAAGCGATACCATGCACGCGTTCCGCATATTAATCATAGCACTAGTTGCTGATTCTTTCATGAAGAAAGCTTCATTAATGATCACATCAAACCAGACTGATCAGGTCTCAGATGAGATCATATCATTCGGGCCAAATTCACCTAGGCTAATATCCAGCATTAAGAAATTTGGATCAAATAGATTGCTTTCTGTTCTCAAAGAAGGTGGAACAATGCATTGTTCTTCTTGTTCTTCTAGTCCACGATTCTTTGTAACGAGTTACCTGAGAAGAATCGCTGCAAAATGCTGGTGCTGAGATGATTGACGTCAAGTGCGAGGTGCGTCAAATTCGGTGTACATTCTACGATCAGGCGCAAGGAATCGTCGAACAGACGTGGTGTGGCAACCTTAAGATGAAATGAGTGGGTACGAAGGGTAAGGAAGTTTTACAAGAGAAAGGCGATAAATCTCGTGGACTAGAAGCGTTCTGGAACGCTGGAAGTTGTGCTAAAACAACACAGATTTTAGCGTGGTCAGTGCTACTGCAGTAATTTTATGGCTTAGGAGGAGATGATGGGTTTTGTAGGCCTCTCAGAAAACAACGTATACAGCGTTCAAAGGAAATAGTGCGACTAACATTAGACCCTGCCTTGTGCTGCCTACTTTTACTGTAGCAAACCTGACTACTGGATCGATACTCTTCTTGTTACGCACTAAACATTCTGTGAGGGCCGGTAGCTAACGGTTTGCTATTCACCAGGTGTCGCTAGGAAACAGTAACTATCAAGGAAACCTGACTTTTACCTTGTTAGCCTACGCCGCAGCGTCATTGATCTTCAGCATCCGTCTTAACTCAGAGCGTTAGATCTCTTCTCACACTTGCGTGATACGAGATGAGCGTTTGTTGACAATAAGTTATCGTTTGCCCTATTCAAGGCACATGTAGCGCTGTGGTCGGAGACGTCCTGCAATACACAGGGGATCGATTCGCGCGCCCCTGGATCAAGTCTTTCATCCCTCCGGAGTCGGGAAATTGGTACAAGACTTGTCTGGGAAGATACCAGCACTGACTCGATACATCGCCACCGCGAATCATTATAAAGGTCAGATATCTATTCAATCACTTGTAGCAATGCTTAAAGAAGTCGAATGCATGGCGCATCCCTGACAGGTTAATCAACGCTAAGAGTTTTATCCTTTATTCTTTTTGTCTTATCAACGTAGTATCTTGGTGCCTGAGAGGCACGCTCATGACACTCTTGGTGCTCGTGTTCTGTTCACTACATCCTTAATGCTCTTAAAGGCGAGCTCACCACTAACTTGTTTCCTCCTTTTCAGCTTTGGTACTAAGGTGTCCGTCATGTTAACTTGTGCAATCAGATATACACAATTGAAGCATTTGTTCATTTCCGCGTCATAGAATGCGAGCGAGAAAAGAGGAAAAACCCGTTTCTTACTACCAATGTTTTTGGATGTTCGGCCGTTGAAGAGGTTTTCCACAAGAGCGGTCGAAGTCGGATCGAATTCGTTCTACCTGGTTAATGCTTAGTGTTGTAAGAACACTGCCGCCAGTGAAGCCAGCATATAACAGTATTCAACCAGCAGTCATTCATAATGACTGAAACGACTGGCTTTGGTATTAATAACTAATTTATGTAAAACTTGCGAACTGCCTTTGTTGAGCTGAAGCGAGGTTGTTGTCAGCTATTGTTGTTGTGATTCGATGACTGACTTCTGCTACTTCGCCTTCTTCAGATGTATGCTATGTAGCATTACAGTCTTTCTTCTTCTTCTCGATGTGTTGTCTTTGAGATGCAATACTGAAGGCAGGGTTTCCAGATTTGTATGTTGTCCTAAGGTACCCACGGCCACTATGACGAATGTTTACTCATTCTGATGTAGAAGGCCTCGAACTCGTCTTCCTCAAAGCCTAGTGATAACGCGTAGATGACAAATATTGTAGACCTGCTGACGTTAATCCGTGTCCTTCTAATCGTAAGCATCTAACCCAGTTCGTTGGTTGTCAAAACGATTCGATTTTCATGACGAAACTGGTGTTGACGAAAACATCAACTTCGCCGGTTTCTACACTAATGAATGTTCCAATGAGTAGTTATTCTCCCGTATTACAAGCAGGAGATCCGCTGATTTCGCATTTAATCTCCTCAGTTTCCGTCACCAGGTACTTAACGTGAGTGAGCTCCAGATGATGTACGTGCGTTATAAGTACACATTTTCTCCACAGCTCTCCCAGAATAGCCGTACGATTTTAGCAGTCTTTCTACACTCACTTACCCTGATTACTCGCCTATTGGGTGCATCTTTGAGTTCAAAGAAATGTGCGCTTTCAACCACATGGATGGTGACATACGAGCAAAACTCGGAACCTTAGTTGAGGTTCGAACCAACGATAACCCTTACCGTGGGCTCAGTTGTTGTCCACCACAGGAATCGAAGCCCTTCTCTTAGGCGTGTTTCTATTCTTGCTGGTTTTAGTGAAAAAGTAATTACACAGGTAGTTTACCCAGAAGCCAATTTGATAATCGATGCTCTGACATTTGTTGTCCTTCTGATTCAGTTGATTAAGACGTAGTTTGGCGACTAATTGGTTGAAGATCTGTGAATATACTAGCTATGATAATACAGTTGTTGTTTCCAAACCCTTATATGGCAATAAAGCTAATCTCTAACGGGACATAGATGGAACTAATAGGTGTGATATTAAGAACTAAGGCATTTATCGCTGAAGGAAAAATGACGTTTGTTTACTTATAATGTTACGTACAAAACGGTTACTTGTTCCTATGGCTACCGAGCGTGATTTCTTTACTTTAGTTATTTTTCAACACCTTACTGTGAGTATCGTAATTTTGCTTCCAATATACGGTAGAATTGTGCTGAGAAGCGTATTAGCGTTGTCGATCGCTGCCTAAAATCAGGTATATTTTGATGGAATAGAATTACTACTTTATCTACAGAGATGGTCCTTTGTGTTGAGAGGAAAATGAAACACAAATAAAAGCAAAAGTTATATTGTTTAGATCTCAAGGTGCACTTATGTAAGAGAGAGCTCATAAGAACCACGAGAGCCACATTCAGATTTCAAAAAATGAAAAGTATGCTATAGCGAGTGGGCTGGTGGAATGACTCAGCTCATCTGAAGCTTTACCAACTTTCTGAATGACTTGTGAAATTTTACAAATAAAGCTCCTGTTAAGCTCGTCTTTCGAAGCTTCTTTTCTTTTTGGGCCTTAACAACGGTTTCATTCATACTCATTCCAATTTGGAAATGCAATTCTGCCCACTTTTTGGTGACTGCAAGGTAAGAGGATGAGATGAGTTACCGTAAAATAAACAGGAGGTTACGTACAATGCTAGCGTCGCGTATTGTAAGCTGAAGATTGATGCTCTTAAGAAATGGCTGTGCTTCGAGACTTCGAATTAGTTCAAACGGGTTCTCATCACCGTTCACTGACAGACGTAATGAGTGGACGGTCGGTGGGAGTTCTGGTAGGATCACGAAGTAATTGCCTGAAAGCTACTAAATATGTGGTCGCTTAACTCCATATATCGCCTTTCAAAGGTTCCTTAATTTGGCTGAGATAACTCGTATATAATGCTGAGATATTTGCAAAACTCCGGACCGCACGTGTATGAGGTGGGGAACGAACTCGCGCTGCTGTCCTTACCGGGGAGCAGCGCACTTCACCACCACACCATCCGGGTCCTTCGTTTTACCTGTCTACCGTTTTACCAGGCTAGTTCTATCGATCTTTTTGCCATCAGGAATCACCCGTCAACGGGATTGATCTGGGGAGCCCAAATCGGCATTGAACCCAGTTAAGCTGAGGCTTAGTTATAATGACAATCTTAACCCTTTTATTTAGCTGAGAGCTGAGAGAACTAAGAACTAGTTAAGAGACGGGCAAAACGAAGGACCCAGATGGTGTGGTGGTGAAGTGCGCTGCTTCCCGGTAAGGACAGCAGCGTGAGTTCGTTCCCCACCGCATACACTTGCGGTCCGGAGTTTTGCAGATAGTTCAACATTATATACGAGTTATATTTCGCAACATAAGCTGCCATTAAAAAGAAAAAGGCAGTAAATAAAAGGGTTAAGATTGGCTGAGATAGTTTGATTTTTTCGAGGTTCGCATCCTTGACCTTTTTACAAAGCTAAGGAGGCTAAGAAATTATACTAGAACTGCCACTTTGTTATTCCAAATACCCTATTTCCAACAGAGATGAATCAAAAGTTAATTTTCTCATTTGGTCTTCGCATAGCCAACATATACAGCTTTTCCTGGGCCTATATTAGCAAAAATCAACGTTATCTACTACGTCTAAGATCCTGGAATAGGCTGATAAGACCTCATTTTATGTCTTGTTTATTGACTATGTCAAGACTAGATAAATCTAGTTCTGTTGTTTAAGTTGAGTATTCATAGAACTGATTGCCATCCTGGAAGAATCCTTCTCGCAAGACAGCAAGCTTTCTAATCAACAAGTTCTGGTGACTTCCTGTGGTGAATTCAGAAGCGGCTATCTTGGAAATATAGTAGAAACTGCGCTTGACTAGTATGTACGTGCTAATGAAGGCGGTAGTCCACAGAACCTCGACTGTGTTCTAAACCCACATTGAATTCGACCTCTTTCGTTGGTGGCGGTTGCAAGCAAAGAAGACCATCTTGACGTCGAATTATCCAAAAGTTTTACAGTTCAGTGGAATTTTGAACACTCTAATGAAAATAATCCTTTCTACTTCGCAAACACGAAGTGTTATTTTATTTCTTTACTTACGCACAAGCTGACGTTTCGGCGGATTTCGCCATCCTCAGAGCCAGGAAAGGTCAAACTGACTGCAATCTACACGGCCAAACACCTCCATAACCAAACAGGGAAAATGCAGAACCAAAATTTCAATCACATTGAACACAGAGTCATTGCATATTCACCGCTTTCTATGAGTCTTCCACTAAATATGACACGTGGAGACGAACCGCACAGAGTTCACATGGAATCGTGGAAGACTCATCATAGAAAGCGGTGAGTGTGCAAAGACTCTGTGCTTAATGTGATTGAGATTTTAGTTCAACATTTTCTCTGTTTGGTTATGGAGGTGTTTGGCCGTGTAGTTTGTAATCAACTTGACTTTTCCAAGCTCTGAGGAAGGCGAAATCCGCCGAAACGCCAGCTTATGCGTAAATAAAGACATAAAGTAACACCTCGCGTTTGCTAAACAGAAGTAAAAAGAATTACTCAATCAATGCCGATGTTAATAGAAAGTCGGTCGTGGGAGTTACTCTAATGTGAATGTAACCAAAGCAAGCTATACATGCACCACGCACCATAAAGATCGATGTCTCGTAAATTGAAACCATCGATTTTGAATTGCACAGTCGGTGGAAAGTCGTTATAGCTCTGAAAGAACCAGGATATTCAACTCTAATGGGTTTCATTTCGGACTTGACTGCTAGAATGCCAAACAACTTAAACGCTGCACTTTCAAAGTCAGCTGTTATTTCTTTGCCATAAAGCATTTTTTGTCTAAGCAAATCTCCTCACGAAAGACGAAGTGTCAAACTGATCACAAGTTAGTTGATGCGAGAGACGAGGCAGCAACAAACCTCATTGAAGAATTGCGCCAGTGAAAGTTGACAAACGTTTGGACAACGAGTAGAAAGATGTTGAAGAGCGGCTGCCGGGTCAATTAACGCTGGTAGAAAGTCCAATTCCAGCACCTAAATTTCCGAGACCTAATTGACTGAGTAGGGATGCTAAAGTAAAGTCCAGGTAAATGGATAACCAAGGGAGAAAGATATGCAACGAAAAACTAGAAGAAGGCAAAGGTACAAATACTAGCTTAATAATTATGTAAAGACATAAAACAATGCAGTAATGTTATTGGATCTTTGTTAAAAAATTACTCCTCAAAAGACCACAATCCATTCATCATCATAGCTAATTAATGAAGAGGGTTTTAAAAAATAAAATAAGTATAAGTAGAAAAAATGCAGGAAGTCATCTCAGGGAGAATGGGCTATACCGGGGACATAACCACTTTCATATAAACAACAATCGAAATCTCTATTTAAAAAATACAAGCTGAACAACTAACCCGTAATCGTTCTCCTACATAATAAGCAATGTCGTAAAGCGCCTGATCGTCGAGCGAACGACAATGATTGAGGTAAAGACAATGGAGGTTGGGATTCCGTTGTACAAGAAATCGTATTCCCAGACTAGTTACCTATAAAAAACCCAATCTCTAAAAATTTTAATAGACAGCATGATAATTATGAAAGTGAAAAGTTTTATCTAGAAAATAAAGGCGCCAATCAATTGCTTTGGATAACACTGTGGTCGTGGAGGATCCAGCTATTGTTCCATTGCCGCCAAGTCGGTGAGTGGTCGTAAGACTCGTTTTTCATAAGAGTCGTTGTGGTTTTGGAAGAGCCTTTGTCGATGGGCAGTGTGACTCCCTGGGGTCCACGAAGTCTGACAACTGTCTACGTTAAGGTACAGAGAATGATGTAGCAACGGTTATCCTGAACATTCGCGCAAAGTCATGTTTGACCAGCATTCATCATGTCAGTCTCTTCTTCAAATGAAAACAGAAGCCTACAGATTATCAACTTGCATCTTAATTTACGCTCGAATCCGAACCTCTTTATTGATAACGGTCGCCATGTAACGAAATGAACGAAAGAAGAGCTGAAACCTACGCGACATATTAGGATAATGTTTCGGAATCATACTAGCTGTTTTTTTCTACCTATTAGTAGTCTTATTAAAGGATAAAGTCCTCGGCATTGACCAATCACTGAGGGATCCGCCGTTTCCGATTTCATAAAGCATCATTAGAGGTGACTCTGCCCTACCCTATAATTTTCGGTGGCAAACAGAGGTGTCAAGTTAATGATAATATCTTCCAAAACAAGTCTGTTGCCAATTGGCTGGAGACGGCTGAATGGAAGGGTTTGGCTCCCCCTGGGCGTGGGATCAAACCAACGACCCCTTGTGTACTGTCGGGCAACTATAAACTACAACGCTATAAGTGCGCCAATAAGGTTGGTACAAAGCAGTAAATGAGAAGATTTATCTAGTAAAAAAATCACCCCAGCACATCCACTGATATCGATAGTATGAAGAAATGGACAATGAACGTCAGTAAGCCCGGCGTCCGTCAGTTGATACATCGCTCGAAGTTCCAACTGCAGTAGGTTTTTTTGGCCTGACGTGACCGTGCGTACTCCCTAAACAACAATTCCTCTAGCCCAGTTAAATTGTTTTTTAAAAATATTTGTTCTGATTGGAAATAGTAAATAAGAAAGCCGCCTTAATATTTCCCTACATAGGCTATTTTTTCGGGCCTTTTCCTACCTAAACAGAACACTTTCAACTACAATTCTGTTGCACCGCATGTATAACCAGGTTTTGCTAAGTTCTACTAAAACGCTGCAGCACTAAACTTAGCCAGGATTTCGAAATTTTCTAGAAGTTGTCAACATCTGTAAGTTCCAGAGTTATTATTGGCCTTCGGTGATACTCTTTACCAGCAAAAATAATACCCAGTAACTGGTACATGTAAGGATTCAAATATGGTACGAAATAATATTTAGTCTATTCTTCCTTTAAAAAAGACCTTTTTCCTCACGACAACAGCTTTAAACGTAGTATAAAATAATTGCTTTCCAAAATAGCAATTGTTGAATTCATAGTATACGTGACCGATGACGAAAAACTGATAACGTTCCTATTCCTGCCGCATTTCACGGTAGCCGAAGCATAACTAAGTTCCAGGCAGCGACCAATCACATGACCGCACAGTCATGGTTGCGTCAGGGGAAACGACCACATTTAGACAGCGGATGGCCCTTTGGGTGATCACCTATTGCCTGTCGAGAGCACTTACCTTATCGGTGACGCGCAGACACTCGACAAGTGTTATACGTTCAAGTCGTTTGTTGTTGGCTGTAAATGCGTTGAGCATGGAATCGGAGAGGTCCTCGCTGAGGTAGAACTTCAATTCGGTCAGATTGTGAGCGAACGACGACGACGACACCAGTCGGTCGCAATCGAATGCAGCCAGCTGAAAGTGCAGTACATAAGGAACAGCCGTCTAGAATAGCTTACACTGAAAAAACCATTAAGTAAGTATGAAAGGAAGTAGTAAGGATAATGTGGTAAATTACATACAATGAACCATAACTTCAACTTCTCACCTTATAAGATGTTAAACTTTACTACATGCAATAATGATAAATAAAAAGTGGACTATAGTGGTTAGTTCACAATTTCGCATGTACCGCCTAGGAAGGGAATCCAACAAGGACAGGTCTTACTATAAAAGATTCTTTTAGAGAAAAAGCATAGAAATACTAGAAACACAATCGCTCGTGCATTTCTTGCAATTCTTAGCGTCCGGACACGAATTATTGACTTGGTAGTTCATTAAGTGAATGTTAACCGACCTAATTATTTATTAGATGCGTCCATGAAATAAAGTAAAGAAACGAATGCAGATACAAAAAATTATGACACCCATCTGAAAATCCAAAAATAAAGAAACAACCAAAAGTTAACAAAACTAAGAAAACAAATATGTGGACATAAAATGTAAAGGCAAAAAGTACGTAAAGAATAAAAGAATAATAGAGTCCAGAAGAATAATAAAAAGTATGATATGGTCATTAAAACAATTAAATAACGGAAATATAGGATTTCAATTTCTTTTAACACTCTGACGCCGATGCCCAATTTTAGTTTCGTTGCGGAATGGATTACGTGCAATTTTTCGCCGTGCTCACTGTGACACGCATGGATCTCACACCGGCCACTCCGTTTTCACGTGGCTCCGCCCCATTCCGCTGTGATTTTCGTTCTGCAAGTCGGTTTACCTCCGAATGTTGGAAAAATTTCTGCGTTTGTCTTACCCTGTGTATGCTCCATGTTCTTCTATACGTCCTTCGATGTTTTTTGGTGCATATGAAACTTTTGTAGATGAAAAAAACACTCGTCCACTATGCAATCAAACTTCTGTCGGAATTTTATGGCGTTGTATAAGTTTTGCAAAAAATATTACGGTGCTTACTTTTTAGTTTCGATATCCTCCCATTTCACACAATACTCAAAACTCATTACAGCGATTGAAAATTAGAAAACGACGAACTTCTTGTCAAAAATCTCGCTACACAAGGCGTGCGATGCCAGCTGTTTGAGGCAGAGGTACGTCTGCGCCTCCTCACTGACCACACTCTCTGAGAAGCAACTCTTTTCAACAGGAATGTCTCTAGTCGCAAAATGAGAATCTTTTTAAATTTTTTATATGACCTGTCTTCACGTCCACTTTGCGGATCCCAGCACTTCTCACATTCGATTCATTATTCATTTCCTCGCATCCATCGTCCACGACGATCTTCCAACTTTACGTGCGGCTTTGGTTACCGCTTGAGGATTTTCATTTCATCATGAATATCGTAGAATGCTGGTCGAGCAATTCTCCCCGGAGTCCTGAGATAGCCGGGATGGAGCGTTCGCAATTGGATTGCAGAAAGTGATTTTTACCCAGGCAAGTCCGGTACCAATTTTCCTACTCCGGAGGGATTAGGGGCTTGGTTGGCCCGGAGCGGAATCGAATTAGCACCATGCTCGTGATGACGAATATCACTACCACTGTGATATCCACTCCCGTAGTCATCGTAATAGTGGGAAAGTGGTGAGAAATTATTAAGAGGAGCTCCTTCCATGGACGACATCCGCTATAGCATCTGCGGTGGATTGGATAGGCTACCGTCTGACCACAGAAAATAAAGAAACATCTGTGCACCAAAATAAACCACCGGAATGAATGACATCTGTAGGTGTCAATCTAGTCACTCCCTAACTCATAACCTATATAGGAGCCACTCGTCTCGAAAGCGTTGGTCCGCGCGTTGTTTACACGAGAGAAATTATCCAGCACTGCAAGAAAATTCTGACTTCAAGTTTCTTACAGCGCACTGGACTGACTCTTTGGCCGAATGATTGATTTTGACAGCTTTATAGAGAAGATATAGGGAAGAAAAAACTGCTTGAACAACATTTCATGTTTACCTGATCATGATTGGTGAAGAACTCGAGGAGTTTCTGTTTACACTCGATCGGTATGAGGGCCAGATGGTCGTTCAGACGATGCTGACAGACGGCTGACAAGCAAATGTTGAACAGCGACTTTACCATTTCTTCATTAATCAAGGAAAGAAAACACGGTATAGAAAGGAAAGCAGAAGTACTGTGGAACTCTTGAGTGTCTCGAGATCCCAATCAGAGCATAACACACCGAACCTGAATCAGTGCTGAAGTTAAGGGATAGGTATGCAACCGTGGTAAACGACAACACGCTTAAACGTGACGGTGAGAAATTTATAGCGTCCAGCGACCTGATGTAATATATTCTTTCTTTTTGTAGATTAGTTTAATCAAGGAAAGCTCGGATTTGACTTGGACAGTGAGTCATCAGAAAGCAAGCAAGAAAAGGGTATAACATGCGGAAATGAGGAATGACGTTTTAGTTCATTTGGTATCAGCCGTCTGCATAAAGCTACAACAGAATAGCACAGTGGCCAATATTATGATAACAAAAGGTGGTCGGTAGTTGAAGCAATATAGATGAACAAATTCTGAATATTGAATTAATTATTCACATGCGTTGTTTTCTTTCTCAGCAATCTCCAAGTTGTTATGCAGCATAACTTTACTTCCATACAACAACACATAACACAAGAGTAGCTGACGTTTCGGCAGTATCGCCTTCTTCAGAGCCGTTTCTTACCAACCTTCCACCGGGGAAGAAAAAAACAGCTGATTGTAGTCGCATATGGTTGATGACTCATATGGTTTTTTTGTGTTCTTCAGTGGAAGACACGTAAGAAATGGCTCTGAAGAAGGCGACACTGCTGAGACGTCAGCTACTATCGGCTGTGCTGTATGTGGGTTTTTGTATGGAAGTAAACGCATGCTGTTTAACAACCTCGCGATTGCTGAACAAGAAAACGACGCAGTTACAATCCACTGCCAAGCTTAATAGAAAGTCGACCCTCGGAACTATTCACACGTCGTCAATAGGTGGAACTGAGACAGACGAAGAGAATGAAGATTAAGAAAGAGAATGGTAAAAAGACACATGGAAGAGTGGAAGAAACTTGAACGATGAAATGATGATTACAGCAATTATGACGAAACTGGTGACAATGATGGTGATAATAAAACTCATACCTACTTTGGCATCAGGTTATTCTGAAATTAATGCATGATTTCAATGAAGTGTGTTTCTCAAAGTGGCGTATCTCAGCTCAGAATAAACTTTATTGCTCAGAAGTAAAGCCATGAGAATCTATTCATTTTTGGCAACGAGAAACGAGTTTAAGTAATCCGGTTGTAAAAAGCTCCAGAGTTAGTGGTAGTCGTTGAAAGCAGATTGGTTTCTGAAACATCTTCAGTATAGAAAGTTGTCGAGGTGCTTGAGGTGGTAGTCGGCTAGTGGGAGAGAGGTCCAGGATGTATGGTGGACAAGCATGTATTTGGTTCCACCAAACCCTTCTATTCACCGTCGTCAGTGGAAGCACGTCTACGATCTCCCTCGTCTTCAAATTCGTCACGATTTTGATGCTTTTTGTAGACAACGCTGCACCGTACGTTCTTTAACACTCTCTTGATACCACACCCTACCGATGTTCCGAAGCGTTTTGCCGTACCCGACCCTAGTTTGGATTCGTAGAAATAGACTTATCCAAATTTTTGTTTTGACATTTGAAACACTAACTTTTAAATCCAATTATGCGGAGCAAAAGTGCATAAAATGAACTTTGCAGCGGTATGTACATAGTACAGCATTCGAAAAAAAAACCTGCTGCTAAAACGTGTACAAGGAAAATAGAATTACAAACTAAGTTTTAGTTTCCAAGCAACATAATAGATTCTAATACACGAGCAGAGTGCCTAGGAAATATGCTAGAACACAATAATTTAATGTTTTTGGTCGATCTTGCGGTACAATAAATCCATGTTTCTTCCTTGAGCAGTCACGAGGTCATTAAAGAATGCTTTACTCAACACAGTGTTGGCATTTTGGCGGATTTCCTTTTTCTTAGAGCCTGAAAGGGTCAAAGTGACACAAATTCACCGTTTTTCTTTTGAGATTTCCAAGCAGTTTTTTAAAAAATGGCGTTGGTTTATAAAATAGGTCTTCAATTACCACTAGCGAGGCGCGTGTAACTCACTGGTTAGAGGCGCGCGGCAATACAGTTGGGTTCGATCATGCGCCCCAGACTCACCAAGCCTTCCATCCTTTCGGATTAGGCAATTTGGTAGCACACCCGTCTGGAACCATAGCAGCACTAACTCGATACATCGGCAATTTACCTCAAATCATTGCATAGGCGAGATGCACATGCGAGATTACCTCTAACGAATGCTTAAGTCGAATGCATAGCGCATCCTTCAGAGGTTGATCATCGCCGGAAGCATTTAAGCGTTTAACGTTACTGCTGTCGATAATTCGCAGAATTATATGGATAGAGCTACATAAAATACTTCCAGGCTCTGAAGAAGATGGCGAAGCCGTCGTACCGTCAACCATCAAATCGCGGCGATAACAACCGATACCAAACTCGCATCAACTCAACAAAGACAAGCTCGTAAGAAATTCCATCCACTCAGCCATATATTTTCATATGCTGAAAAAACTCAGCACGTAGGCTTCAGTCTTCAATCTTCTTTTAAAAATTCATCGTTTTATCCTTTATACGTCTTCCACTTATTCCCCATTCTCTTCTGGTACAGTTGGATAAAAATACAAAAAACCCCAGTATACCAGCAGTTGCATTCTTGCATTCTTACCCTCTTGCATTAATCCAAGTCGTGAGGCATAGAACTTCCCTCTAATCCACAACGGTTGGCGACTGCTTGCTAAGAAAACCAGGCTCGATACATCGGTAATTTACCTCTATAGTCGAACTCACACACAGATCACCTCATTGGGTGGTGGACCTAAGAGCAGACGAATACGAGAAATGTTGGCACTCGCATGACATGTGGAAACGATCTTCCAAGTAACCTAATCATTTAAGGTTTGTCCTAGATTACTGAGCATAAACGGAATTGTTAGAAAAATTTTCTTGCCTCTAGGATTCCGACGCTCTAGCCTTCTTCAACTTGAATCACAGCGGCTCTAAAGAAAGAAGAAGCGCCGAAAAGTTAGCCACAACGAAGTTTCACTAAGGACCTAGTATAAGTTCAGTAGCCTAAGAAAACATTAATTATTCAGGCCAACGTTAAATGAAAGTCGTTTTTCAAAAACATTATCTGAGTATTGTGTTGACTAATAAGAAATGGGTAATAAAAAAACATGTCACTCTGTCTTGTTAAGTGCTTTAAAATTAATTTATTTGCTATCTCTATCAGCGTGAATGATTCTACACTACGGTAACCGATGGTTTTCACATCTTACGGTAATAAATTAACATTTTCTCTTATGATGGCACATATAATATTAGAGCAATTAAAAAAGCGAATTCCGCCATTACTGTGATCATAATAACAATGGCGTCAGTAATATTAATAATGCTAGAAATAAAAACATTAATAGTGGTAATAATCCTCCTAATGTTTTACCGCTTCATCATGGGTGGGAGGTGTTCCTGGGTGTCGGGCTGCGATATACTGCGAGGGGATCCATCTCCTCGCAGGTCTCCCAAGCTGAGAACCAGTCCGGCGTTTCCATCCGGAAGTCCGGCTGAGGGTGAATCAATAACGGGAAAAACCACCGTCCTGGTATCAAAGTAATCGTATAGTGGCAAATATTTCTCTGATCCACAAAGGCGGCGACTGCCTATGGTGGGGCAAATTGAGGCAGACTTTGACCGATCTCAGGACTCCGGAGAACTGCAATGACTAAACCAGCAAATCTCCGAAGAATAGAGATTACGCTGGGGTCCGCAAAACCAGTGATTACGGGCCATCCATGTATCCAAGTATCCAAGTGATACTGGTAATGAAAGTAAATATAATAGCCGTCACAATGCTAATAATGATAAAGGCAGAGTGCACGAGAAGATGTCGTCGGAGGTACCTTGGAATACACATGTTGCCGTTGGTTTACCTTGAATCGTGATAAGCCAGTTGAAGCTCCATCCGATCAGAATAGACAAAGTGGTGAAGGACTTGTCTGGGAAGATAAATTCACCGGAATGTACGTAGGAAGACCTCATAGGGGAAATTCGTTCAGTCAGCTCTGCAATGCTTAACGAAACACCAGGTTGGATGAGAAACGATGACTTTTTTGTTGTTATAAAATTTGTAAAAAAAAGTTTCCAATAAATATTGATGCATGCTTGGTGCTCCGTAGCCATAGCTGAGCAATCACCCATGCAATTTTTTTCTTTTTTTGAAATATCACCGAAATACGGACATGCAAAGGGCTTCTCAATGCTTCTTCTAAGACATGGTTCATAATGACTTTCGGTTAGTTTAAATGGTGACCCGTATTCATAAAATTTGCACCGTTTTGTTTCAGAACTTCAAACTTAGACATAAAGCAGCGACAACAACTCGAAATGTTATCGAAGTACCGACGTGGAAAACGCTTCCGAATGCCTATTGTCATGATGGTCCTTAAAGCTTTGCATAGGAGAGTTTGTTTCCATGGCGGAGGTGAACAAGAGCATTTATCAGCAGTTTACCACAAACATGTGGTGCCAAACGAAATCACTCTCGAAAACCTATCACAGGATCGAAAAAAATCTTATTGATGTCGAATGAACTAAGTGGAGAGCAAAGAGATCATTGCAAGGTTGTTCGCTTCTGCTCTTCTTTCATAGAAGCAGGAAAAAATATTATAAGAAAAATGCTCCATTTCTCGAATGCGCTGTGAATCAAGTTTCAAAATAGACTCAATACTACCGTTCGGTAAGGCTGCTGAGTGAAACGAAGCTATCAAGCGTTTTCCAAAGCCTGATTTGGTTCAAGAGATGGCTACGATGACTTCGCTATTGGCGGATAGGACCATCCAATAAAACGTCTCGGGCTTAGCGGAATGAAGAAGCAGGAAAATGCTACCACGAAATCGATAAAATTCCACGTAAACTATTGTGTTTATACACTACGTGTTTAACACTGATGGTGAAATCACCTGGAAAAACAGCGCTCGACCTGATATAGCTCAACCAACACTGCAAATCTTG